ATTACACAGAAACATACCAAGGGAACATGAATCAAATATGTATCTTTATTCATTTACAATAAACTCATAAAGTACATCATTCTGATTGAAACTAAGGGCATACAAAACTGTCTAACAGATTGCTCAATGCCATGAGACTAAAGGTGATCAGTTAATCTGGTGGCCTAAATTCAGAAGACCTCAGTTGGATCAAGAGGTGGAGGAGTGCATCCTATTGTTGGACAAACTAGAACATTCTATTATCAGTATCTTCTAGTGATGATTTGTGGTAGAAGGAATGTAGGGATGGAAAGTTCTTGGTGAAATCCTTTTATCTGGCTCTAATCAAAGAGGATTTGACTTCTGACTAAGTAGGTGGAGTGTGGGGGAATCTTGTTCCCCCAAGAGTGGAAGCTTTCACCTGGCTGGTTGCCTTCAATGACATCCCAAAAACAGACCATCTGAAGTGCAGAGGTTTTTTTATGGCAAGCTACTGCTACCTATGTAACAAGGATGAGGAATCTGTGTGGCACCTGTTCTTTTCCTGAGAAGTGGCAAATTTCATATGGCAGTACTACTTTTTCTTGTTTCGCATGCCAGTATTTCAGCCTTTCTTACCTGAAGAAATATTCTCCTCTTGGCTAAGGTTCAGAGGAAGCAAGAAAGCAAGAATCATTTGGAGTTGTATCCCCTTCGTGGTGTACTGGCCATTATGGAAGGAAAGGAATAGAAGGCTATTCGAAGATAAATCAAAAGGCATTGAAGTTTTGGTGGCCCCAATCAGAAAGATGGTTTCAAGCTGGGTTCTGGTCTTTCCAGAATTTGAGCAAGTAAACAGTGCAGATTTGGTGGAAAATTTTTGGGATGTTTTTGAGATTCAAGCTTGTAATGTAAACTTGTTTCCTAGTGACTAACTGGTGTGGTGTGTCATCTTGACACCTAGTCAGCTTATACCTTCCTTTTTATTTTAATAAAATTTCTTCTTTACTCTTCAAAAAAAAAATGGTTTGAAGCAGTCACCAAGGTCTTGGTTTAGCAGGTTCCATTTAGCTTTTCAGCAAATAGGATTTAAACAATGCTAATCAAATACACACTCTTTGTGAAGAGGGAGCAAGGAAAGATTGCATTGTTGATAGTTTATGTTGATGACATGTAATTACAGGTGACTAGACATCAGAAATTCAAAAACTGAAGGAGTTCCTGACTACTCAATTTGATGTAAAGAATCTAGGCCCCTTAAGATATTTTCTTGGGATTGAAGTTGCCCATTCACAAGAATCTTCATTTCACAAAGAAAATACATCCTGGCTCTATTGAAAGAAACAGGGAAGTTGGGGTGAAAGCCTACTAACACTCGCATTGACCCAAACTATAAGTTAAGTGAGAGTAGTAGTGATCCTATAAAGGATGCTAAGCAGTATTAGAGACTTGTTGGGAAAC